GGCCTCTGACTTCAAAAAGACGATGAACGACGGGGTTTTGTATTTTAATTGCGCCGACGATCTTTCCCCGGAGTGATAGTGGGGAAAACTATTCACCATGAACGTGGGAAATTGCCCCCCCGCATCCTCGGGTATTACCCTATGCTATGCCCAGGGGACGGAGTACATCCCTAGTAAAAACCCGAGAAACATCCCAGGCCCCTACACCCTTTTAGGTAGTGATATGAGGATGTTTTGGCTACCCCTTGGAGGAGGGGCCACAGACATCAGTGGATGGTTTTGGGGGCTGGGGGTGGTATGGCACCGCCTGCTGCCCTCCCTGGCCACGCGGGAACCCACGCTGCGACTCGTCGTTAAAGGGACAAAGCGGGCGCACCCCCCACCCGCCACCCCACCCTAAACCACCTATGTGTCCTTTTTCCCACCAGAAAACCCGGGTATCTGGGTTGGCGGGAAAAACCCAATTTTTGTCCCCCCTCAAAATTTGATGACTCGCAAAGTGGAATTTCCCCTACCGCCCCCTTTGGGAACCACGGCCAATGAACTGGAATTCTTTAAATTTTTCTTTGACCACCCTTGATGGAAACTATTGTCAGGGAAAGAATAAGTATTTTCAGTACCCCAGGGCAAATACATTTTATCACCACAGTCAAGACTACACGGGTGGAAAAAGACGACTTTTGCAGAAATGTTTTTTGCTTTTTCCCAAACAAAAAGGTTTATGCCTCCGTCTATAAGCAAAATAAAAAAGATACGGCCACAGATCGGCAATTTGTACCCCATCCTTCAGTGAAAAATACCATGAACGGGTTTATCTTACTCTTACGTATGTTTGCACTTCTCGACAAAACCCCTGACAGAATGCAGGTTTAACAAGTTTAGAAATGTTTTTCAGTATCTCAAACAAAAGTTCGGGAAACTTTTATCCTTTAAAAACTTGTAATTGACAGTCTTTTATTTTGTTCAAAGGTAGACTTCATTTAAGCAGATTCCGGCAAGAAACCGTTTGGATAAAATTGTTTGTACCTGTGATTTTGGGGGCCTGGTTTTGGATATTTTTGTATACACGGTAGTAAAACCCCTTGAAAAATACCAAGATGTTTTGGGTATATCAGGGGACTAGGAGAACATGATGGCACCTTACTTGGTAAGGGGCCCTACAAAATAAACCGATAAAGGACACAAGCCCATTATCAGTGATTTTATGCGATGAAAAAAACAGATGTGTGTGGCACAGTGCTTTTTAATCGAAACATATGCCAGGCCAAAGCAAAGGGGTTCTTTTGTGACGTGCAGGGGTTTACTGCCAATGACATCATGGCATTACGTGGCAGACAAACGAGTGTCACATTTTTGACAAACCCTCACCGTAATGAAAAAGCAAGACGTGGCAAATTGACGATGACTAATGAACGTATTCAAAACCTGACAGTGATTTATTATACACAAAACATGCGGTTGGTTTGACAAGGGGTTACAGCAGATTGGTTTTGTTTTACTGTGTTCGTAAAATTTTCAATGGTACATAAACTTTTCTTCCACTCATGGACATTTTAATGCTGAAAAGCATATAATATGACCAAAAAAAAGACTGGGAACAGACCACCGTATGGTGAAAATTTTTTTTTGTCTGTTTTCAACAACTCTAATGAATACCAGGAACAACACCTGCAATACAAAATGGTCCTCGAATTCTCACAAAATACCCAAGCGTTTGAAAGAGAAGGGGATCATTTCATAATACGCTTCCTTCAACCAAAAGAAATTTGCCGAGAGATGCATTGTCCTTCAAAACAAAAAGACGGAAACAAAGACGCAAAGACCTCGTTTTATGTGGAGAAAGTAAAGGGGCCTCTTTTCTGTGCCTTGTTTCAAGGAGTTCCACAACTCCAGCAGTTTCCCAAAACCATTCCATGATTGTAAATAGTAAATAATGAAGAACTTTTTTAAATTTTACAAAATTTGTGCATTTTTATTGAAAAACAACAGTGGTAAACAAAAAAATTTTAAAAACTTTATGCGGTTTTTGTTTCAATACAGTGATTTAAAATAATAAATTATTACAGTATTGCTCTCAGGCCCCAAAGTTAGTAGGAATAGAAAAAAATTGAAAAAAAAAGAAAAAAACTAAAACAACAAAAAATATAATACCGTATGTGGAATTCGTCGGTTGCCGCCACCACTCATTTTTTACAAACTTCTTGGCACGATCTCGGTAATACTGATCAATTCTAATTTTTTTTGTTTTTTACCTTCACAAAAATATCTCTTTAAATTCGAAAAAAAAAAAATTTTTTTTTTTTTCAAAAAAATTTTTTTGGACCGGGGCGGACTTTAGATTTTGGGGCCCTTGGGCCCTGAAAGGTTTTAAAGATTTTCCATTTTTTTTAATACAGTATAAGATAGGACAACCGCACCAAATTTTAAAATGTGTATTGTTATTGTGTATTTATTTTTCTTTTTATCTTTTTTTTTTTTTATGCCTAGTTATTAAACCTGTAAAACGGTCCAAACGATAAACGTTTTCAACATTTGAAAGTATTTAAAAAAAAATAATCTTTTTTTTTTTTTTTCATTTGAAAAATTGTAAAAAAACTTTGATCTACTTTTTTTTTTTTATTAAAAATATGTAAAAAAACTAGACTACTTTTGGAGCATTACGCTGTGAACAAATTTGCCTGGACCGTTTACGGGGTTAAGCACTTTGTATATGAAGTTAAACACATTACATCTTTTAGATGCATTCAAAAAAGAAAAATAAAATGCTCTTTTTTTTTCCTCGGGGATTTTGATTTTTGAGAACCTGGAAGCATACAGACAGGGTCCTCCTGTACGTATTTCATTTTAAAACATACTCCCCCAAAAAACAGGAAAAGTTCCTGAATTTTTTTTTCTCAAAGTACAAACAGAATAAAAATTTTCATTCTGTATTGTGAGACTAAAAACATTTGGTTAATATGCTTTGCCCCTGAAATTTACTTCATTTAGTGGCTTTCTTGTGCTTTATAATAATTTTTATTCAGGGGACCCCCGCATAACATCACTCCCAACGCACCAATTTTTTTAAGTGATTTTTTTAAGTGCTTTTGGTGATTTTTGGGTCCCAAACGGACAATCACTTTTCACAAAATCTCTTATGGGGAAAAATTCGGTCATAACGGGACCCAACAGACTTTTGGATTTAAAAAATCGTTATGCGGGGTCCACTGTAATTAAAATACATTACTGTATACTGCAGAAAAAAATAATTAAAAGTAAATATTGACTTACAAACATTGAGAATCTTCTGTATTGTGATATCTTTTTTATATCATTTTGTGTATAATATCATTTTTTTATACACAATTCAGGAGGGCCCCAAAAAGGGTTTTT